AAAGTTGATTATAAACGAATCTTTCAAGAATTTTACTAGCGATACTAAGGAGAGATATTGGTCTATAATTAGACACAATATTTTTAGGACCCTTTTTATAAGTCGGATTGACTGTAGCAACTTTCCACTTATCAGGAAATTCTCCTGTTTCGATGGATAATTTAAAAATATGATGCAGCTGTATAGAAATGATACTGGCGTTTTTTTTTAATACAGCAGCTGGGATTTCGTCTGGGCCGCATGCAACATTTTCGCGTAGGCTATTAATGGCATCGGTTATTTGCTCAACAGTTGGATATACAAGGTTCAGTACTAATGTTGGAGCGAAATTTGATAGCGGAATAGGCATAGGCTCAGCTGTGGGAGCAGTAACTGTGGAGAAATATTTGCTAAATAAGTCTGCCTTTTTCTGATCTGTTGAAGCTGTATCTATTCCGCTGGACAAGGTGGCAGGAAGACTTGGATTACCTTGTCTTACTCGGTTTATAGCTGTCCAGAATGTTGATGGAGAGGTAAAGGTTTCTGCTAAACGACTAAAGAATGCTTGTTTATCTTTGGTTAGCTCTTTCTTTGCGTCTTTCCTCCACCTTCGAAAATTTTCTTTCGCTTGCGCAGTATCCCTAAACTTATACCTTTGGAATGCTCGGTTGCGCTTTCGAACTGCGTGGTAATAACTTCGACTTTGCTTAAATAGTATAGGCTTAGGTTTTATTTCTTTCCAGGGCACACAGTTATCCAGACAATTTGCTACATGACTGGACCAAAGGTTTAGTGCTTCAGTACACGTTGCGGTGTCATAAAAGTCAGGTTCAATGTCCGACAGCTCAGACAGTAAGGTAGCCCACTGGCATTTTCCATAATCCCGACGTCGTTGTAGTGAACGAGTCCGTTCAATAAATAGGTCTTTGAATACTGTTTCGAGAACAAAATGGGGAGAACCACCTAGTGGTGGAAAATCTCTGATAGATGGACTATCCCATTCATTCGGATAAAAGATATTGTCAAGTTTCGTTTTATGTCGCGTCGTAAAAGTGAAAAATGAAGGGAATAATTGGAAAACTGATAGAGTGTTTAAGAGTGTTTTATGTATGTTTGCGTTGTTTTCAGGATCGGCATTAAAGTCACCAGTGAGTATAAGATGAGAAGAGGGTGTAATGTTGCCTAAGAGATAAAGTTCTAACATCTCAAAGTATTTCTCATACTCATATGTGGTAGCTGATGGTTTTCTATAAGAGCTACAAATGAAAATGTCCTTTTTTGATTTTATCTTAATTAAGATTGACTCCGTCTTTTTACATGAGGCGATAAACTGATGTGGGATCGTATTTAGAATATATATAGCAACTCTCCCGTGGGGGTTTTGAGCAGTTATTTTAATTCTATCTTGTCTAAAGAGGGAGTATCCTGATACTTCTAATTCTCCATCCTCAACACTGTCAGTCAGTCATGATTCCTGTATGCATACAATATCAATTGCATTCTGTGAATCATTTGAGATTTTTAGTAAACTTTTTAAAGAAACAAGATCAGGGCATAAACTCTCAATGTTGTGGCATAAAATAGATAGATTCTGACCTGAGCTCTTAGTTCCGTCCTGTGTACATATAACAGTAGTAGTTCTTATTGTCGAGTCAAAACGGCTAGATACAAGTCTTCAAGTACTCATCTATTTTCTTTGATAAATTATTTGTTCCACCTGGGTTTAAGTGCACACCATCTGCCATTAACATGCTTTTTGTAAAGTTACAATCAACAATATCAATATCATTTGTAAGATTTTGTAGTTTAGAGTTAAAATCATCAACATCTTCATTAATTTTTTGTTGTAGTTTTGGACTTAAGTATGGGTCATATTGTGGTGGTATTGTACAAATAGCTAATTTTGTGTTAGGGTTTGTTGTGTTGAATTTGTCTATTAAAACTTTCAAATCTGTTATAGCTAAATCTGACTCCATTTTCATAATATCAATTGTTCCAATAGACATGACAACACGTGAGCATTGATTAAGATTTTTATCTATCTGATTTTTTTGAACCATATCTGTCATGCTTTTTATAGTGGAACTTCTTTTTGTCCGAATTTGTATGTTGACAGATCTGTTGTTTATTCTCTCAATTCCTGGTTCAAGATTTTTAACAATACTACATCCCGTAATAATTACATTTGTCATTGGATTTGAGCCGGTGGGTTAATTTTTATTGTACTGGATGTAGACGGCTTTTTCGGACTTGAAGTCATAATCGGTTGAATCGGAATTGAGTTTGTTACAAGTGATTGTGCAGATGATTGGATTTGAGATATAGAGGATAATGCTTTAGCCTTAGCTGTAGGATCATGTTGCGTCCCTCTTTGATTGTAGTTAGAACATAATGTTCTTAATAAAAGATCATGTTGATCAAATATCATTTTAAACATAGGATTTGAATAGAGGTCATGTGGTGTTGCGCCATCTTTAGACTGAGTTGTCGTTGCTGTTGTATTCAAATCATCAGAAAGATTATCAAGTGTTATTGATAGTTTCTTAATCAATTGTATATATTCTTCAGTTTTCAATGTAGTTAGATCGTCTGTTATTTTATGGATTGAGTTAAGAAATGTGCGGATTATTAGTTCTGATCCTGTCGGCATTGTTAAGAGGTAATGGCCGTTAGTTTGATTGGTTTGAATGATAGCCAATAGAACGGAATACTTAAGAACGGATACTTAAGAACGGAATAGTAAAATCAAACATAATAAGTCGGTTTTATCGATTAGAGCTTTAGGCTTCGAAAGTTTAATAAAGACTTCGAAGGCTTAAGGTTGAATTAGGGTTTCGGGATTAGAGTTATTTTTTATTACGTTTCGCGTAGCATGTATACCGGGACCTACGCCGGTTCGGATTTATTTAAAAGGGTGTCGCGCTAGACTTCGAAGGGGTAAGTACTCCCTTAAGCGAGCTAACTATTAATTGGAACCGGCGCCAGTCCCTATTTAACCTATGGGTAGTATTAAAACCCCTTACCCGCGTACTTTAGATCCCCCCTCGCATCACATTAGCTTGTGAGCTAGGAGAATAGACAGGCGCCTTGACAATATAAATACTATTTATATATTTAAAAACTTAAAATTCCTCTAAAATAATCGAGGGAATTATCGATTAATATAATCATTAACTAATCTATACAGCTATTAATATACTGTAAACCCTTACTCTTAATAAAGTTATACTTCTAATATAAACACTCTTTGTAAATTATAAGCCTAACCTGTACCTTCAAAGACGTGCGAACCTAGACCCTTCAAGGTACTACCTACATAGAACCGGGGAGCAATCGTGACATTAACTTAGCTATAATCTTCATTGTAAGAAGACATAAAAGATCGTGACAGTACTTATTCTCCGTAGTATTATATCGCTTGTTTGATTCTCTACCTATCGCTTATTCGATCCCAATTTAGGCAGTTCATGACGCGGTAAATATAAGAGCTATTTTCAGATGGAATTCCATTAGAATGGAAGGTGTGATGGAGTCAGCACTTTTCTGCCACACCTTCATTCGCAGCCGCGGCAACTAGATTATTTTCTTTTCGGGAATCTCTAACCAAACATTCGGATTTACATATATCCAGTTCAACCGCCTATTCTATCTGAAACGTTGCAGCTGCTAGAAGTTTTCAAATCATCCTTATTATCAGTCGACGCTTTGCTCTGCAAAGGCGGTACCACATACACCATGTCTACTAACGATCACGTCAATTTCAATGTTCCTTTTCAAGTTCCATCCGCGTTACTCCCAACTGCATTGCCGACGCGCGCCGAAATAGAAGACATTCCAGAGTGCGACATCCTGTTAGAATGCGCAAATCATCGCACCATCGCTCGCTTCGGCCCCTACTTAGTCAAATGGGGTCCAGGGGTGCTCTTAAGCGAAGGGCAGAACATGCTCTTCCTGCGTGGTGTATTGCCCCCCTCAGACGTGTACATACCCACGATCTATGCGCTGTACTCCGAACCTGACAAAGTGAGGAAGGAGAGGACAAATAATTACATCGTTATGGAATACATCCCCGATGTGGAGACGCTAGAAGATCTCTGGTCTACATTCAGCAATACCGAGAAGTTTGCCATCACGACAACGCTGAAGGGCTTTTGGGACAATCTTCGGGTAGTGGAACCGCCTCAAGCGTACGATACGGCAAACTCTATTGACTACAGTCTCAGCAGATACTACGGGTCGCTGAACAGACGTAAACTTGAAGATAATCTGTTCTGGACGTGGGATTCGATTCCAAACATCAATGGCCCATTCGAAACCGAAGCACAGGTGAACGCGGCGCTTGCACTAAAAATCGGGTTGGATGGCGTCATCCCTCACAGAGCCGACTTCTATCGCCAAACTTTACCCAGTGTGCTCACTGGGCATCCCCCTGTTTTTACACACGGCGACCTACAACGGAAGAACATTCTGATAAAAAGAAACAAGGTCCCCAATAGTGACTCTGTCTCACGAAGTGCAACTTTCGATCAGATTGTTCTCGTCGACTGGGAGTTCGCAGGCTGGTACCCAAGCTACTGGGAGTTTAGTATGGCAATGTTTTGTGCAAATCGTCACAAAGATGATTGGAATTTGTTCCCGCACAAGTTTCTTGAACCATATTGGCACGAGTACGCCTGGATTGAGATGCTGCGTCGAGACTGTGGCATGGACAAAGGTCCCGGTGATGAGAACTCCGCGGGGAAAGATCGCGTAGAGCATGAGGCGACAATAGCTGAGCCATAGCATGCTATGGGCAGATGGTATTCCATTCTTTTCAAGCCTGTTCTAAACCGAGATGTATTCAATGCTAGACAATGCTCGCGTACCAATAGCTGAAGATGTTTTTGTTAATTTTTGAATGGTTTTATTTTTGAAAGTTTTTTTATTATTTTGAAAGTTTTTATTTTTAAAATGAAAAGTAGGAAGGTGACAAAAAGCTGGCTAGTATGAACGCGTTTCGAATATTCTTTTTCAACAGACTAGCGAAAAACTGATAACGAAAAAAAGTGGCACCGTATGATGAAAATGTAGTGGTATATATAGGCTTCCGTATTCTCATTTTTGTCAGATGATGCAATATATCAAAATTCTAATAGAAAAATAGAATAATTCTCTCCTTTTGAGTTTTCTCGATTTTTCTGACTGAATTATTTTTCTTTTTCTGATTGCATCATTTTTCAATGATTCTTGATTTTCTGATTGCAGTATTTTTCAGAAGTTCCTGCTTCCTGGTTCTTGATTTTTTCTAATTGCAGCTTTTTGGGATGTATATATAGCTGTGATTTTCTTCATTTCAGTCATTACATATTTTCGATGTGCTTGAAGAAGACGTTCCTCTCACTTCCCAGACCATGCTGTACTGTAAGACGTGGAGTAAGTTGTGGAAAGTTGACAGTGCACGGATTCTTCTTTCTTATACTTTTATAGATCTTCAATGTTTGTCCGAAGACAGATAAAAAAGATAAGTGCGATCTCAAACAACAATATGTTCTATTTCTTTTAGATTTAATCTACTTTACCTATGCGTGTAGAGTAAAGTAGAACGAGGTGTCCCAGATCTTGAATGTGTCGCAATGATGTTGTGAGGGTGAGGATGTAGAGTGTAGTATAGATCTATTAACTATACTCTTACCCAACCGTTATTTCATTCAGTTCTCCGTCGTCGATTTATGTTTGATGGACCAGAACTATGGCTGTATTCCATTCTTCCGTACGTCGATAATAGTGACCGTTAAAATCGTCTGAATATCGAGTATTTAGTCATTTATGACTGTTTATTACACAATAACATGCAATGACATTCAGGGTATTTTTTTTTCTCTGTATAGACTGTATTTTATATTCGGCGCTCTGTTTCTCTAGTTTCAGTGTGTTTTTATCGTAAACGTCGGTTTTTCCTCTTACACTTCGGGTTTTTCCCCTTATATTTAGGATGTTTACCTTGAGTAGTTTACTCAAATGGACGGATGCAACGTACATAAATAGTGAGAATATCAATAGATAGCATGTGTATAAGACACCATACTATAATTTCTTTTGTTTCTTGTTTTTTATTATAGTCGAAACTTATTTAGACAAGTTACGGCTTATCACTGCTGTACATTTTGAGGTAATATGATTCGTTATAAACGTGTATACTCATCGGCAAGCCAGTAGAGGGCACTTGTTCGTAATTGTCACACCGAAAAATTCGAATGAAATATTCATTTATAAAAACAAGTGAAACTCAATTTATTGGTTCAGATACAACTCTGCCAATGATCGAGAAAGTCTCTTATTCGAAAAAACGGAATTATATGATTTTGGTTTTAAACGTGTAGATGAGTACATTTAATTATGTATATAGCTGACTCGTTACTGCGTTGCATACTTTTTACTTCAATATTATAACAGAGATGGGCAGCTGCGACTCAAACTAGAAGTGACTAACTTCTTTTTCGGTTCCGTACTTACCTCAAACATTGAACCCATGAGTAATGAGATATGTTTTCAATTGGGGAATAAAAAAACGTACGTTATTACTATATGATAATATGACTTCATCTCTAGTAATATCGATTGAGATAAGAAAATGTAGAAATTGTTACGCACTTCCAACACGATTGAACATTCTTAATATTTTTCTACGCTGATTTTTTTCAGATATTTGATATTCTACTAGTTTTCAAACTACGTAAACCTCTGACATGGCAACAACTGAAGCAAAAGGTAAGGCTATACATCATATTTCACATTTGTAAATATTTCAAATATTTCTTTTTGCTTTAGCTCTATTTACAAGACGAGAGCGCATAAGAGCATATTTTCAGATACAAAGATGCAAACTACGTAGATTTGTAGAGTTTTCAACTGGTAAATCTAGTTGCGTAGAAATGTAGTGAAAACATCGACTTTCTTGTGATATGTATAGTGATAGTAAAAATCATGCTCTACCTTTCTGTCATTCTGTATTCAATGTCTAATCTTTTTCTCATCCATTTTTCAATCAAGTGGTTTATAAGTGTTAGAGTATACAAAAGAAGGGATGATCGTATCAGAGAAATAAAAAAACGTTCATCAAATATTCGAAATAGCCGCGCGAGTACTCACACACAATCTCACACTGCTTATATTTCTACAGGAAAATTATAAAATTTTTATTCAGAAGTTGAACAAGCAACTGCTGCAAAGAAACTATCTTGTAACGGTCGTACTTGTCTAACATGTGGTAAATGTCGGGATTGGCGATTTACCGGCGATGTGGCAACTTGGAACTGGATACAGAATTATAAGAATTGGGGTAACGACGATTGGAAGCGCTGGCGTCGTGGTCGTATGTGGAAACATTATGAACGTGAGGATGGTGCAACGTGTACTAGTGTTAGTCGTGGTCCTGGTAATACTTATGATGATCCTATTTTTGGTGGTCATCATGTTGTTCATAATATTGATTTCGGTGTTGGCCTTACAATTAAGGCTAGTCATGATTTCGTTTTTGTTGGTGACAATATTGCCGATGAGAATAATATCGTTTCTTCTCTTGGTGATTTGTGTGTTTGCAATGTTAATAATCAATAAAGAACTCTTCGATAAATCGTAAGATTTATAGAATTATTGGTGTGTTTCAACTATTGATTTATCGAAATTGATGATAAACGATGGGCTAGAAGCATATATGGACGTGGCCAAGCGTGACGGAATTTCATTTTTTCGTATGGTAACGTATATATCTCCTCCGCAATTCTTGCAAACTCAATGAAATTTTCACCATAAACAGAGCTTAGTTAGCTTTATTAATTGTAATAATTTTATTTCTTTTTCTTCCGCCAGAGCTGAGTTTTTTAGAAAATATTGTCCGTTGAGGAATTTCAAAAAATACAATTTTTTTCTAGAGCAGCTAAGAGTTTAATAGTTTACTCCAAAACAAAGTGACGTTCAAATAAACCTTCTGTATAAAAGTCGTTCAGCTTTAAACGAGCTTTCAAAATGTCAGATTATTTATTAAAAGACATGGCTACATTAACTGAAAATTTACGAATACTATTTGTGACGGAATTTCATCTTTTTTCAAAAAGATACAATCAGACAAGTAACATGCATCGGTTCCCGATCCACTCATCCCTAGACTGAGTCTGTATCACCACAGACGAAGTGATCTCTCATTCACGTGTGACAGATTCCAAAGCACTTTCTACGATGCTTTAGAGCTTCACAAACTGCCTGTTTTCTGTCCCAATAGGATATTCTCTACTAAAATTCCGTCTCTGAAGATAGAAAGCGCAGGAATATTTTGCGAAGCTCTCTATCGATGGCTTCCGGGGTGAAAGACAATATAAGTTATTCTCTGTATCTTTCGCCAGTCGATGCTTATTCGTCATTTTGACTCAAAAACCTTTCTGATATAGATTTATCTGCACAGTGACACAATCGACCATTGCATTGTCACCAACAGAAAAGCTCGTCCTCATAACCATTGCCGTCATAACTGATGAAAAAGCAGAACTATGATGGTTGAGAAGTCAAGCCTTGAGATAGTTGGTCTGAATGGATCAATGAGTCAGCGAGAATAGCAGAGAGACGCCAAAATGATTAATGAAGAGAGAAAAACAGAGATGGCAATCATTCTTTTCATGGCAAATAAGTCTCTGATCGAGCCCCAAAAGCCATTTGACCAGTGGTGATTTTCAAAGCATGTTGCAGATAGACAGCAAAATGCTTTCTTTACCGTCGTACAGACCCTAGACTACAGTCTGGGAAATACAAGTAACGTTCATCAGCTTCCGATTCACTCGTCCCTAGACTGAAGTTTAATTCAACCACCTTTAGTACGTGAACATGTTTTCCTTTCAAGATCGACGAGGGATTCCAACTTCCACACGATGTTTTCTAGCACCCAAGCTCTAACTTTTCTGTATGACTAGGAAACCTTCTTTGAACTGTAGAAGCTACTTGACCACGTCCTTGGGACAACCTAAAGATGATGAAACACTTTTCAATCATTGACATGAAATCAGCGGTCAACCAAGGGATGGATTGAGCTCTGAAAACCGTATTCTCCATAGACAGAGAGGCAGTGAACTCGAATGAGTGAGCACTCGATATTCGAAGTAATTAGCAGAAAAACCAAAAAAGGCGCCAAAGCGATCAATGAAGAGAGAAAGATATCATTCTTTCATCTAAAAACCTTCACTCTCCATGAACCTACCATAGATTCCACTGTCGTATTAAAAACGTGTTACAGACAGACAGACAAAATACATAATTACCGTCTGACAGACCCTTTCAGTCTAGGGAACAAGCAGCACAGTTATTTATTCGCATGTTATTCATGTTAGACCTCAGGTGTTTATAATGTCCTCAAGAAAGTAAAAGAAAGAAAAACAGATTAGAGCCACTTCCTTTTTGTCAGTCTCTATTAAAAACAGTTGATAAATACTGGCTTTTGGTTTTTTTCCAAAATGTATCGAGGAGGAGAAGAACATAAAGGTGATATATCGTAGTTCTCTCGGACAAAAGCGATTTAAAAAGTGAGATTTTAGACTATTCAATTATATCTTTGTGATTTGTTTCGATCGAAGCGTATCGGTCATCGTTGCCTGTCTAGGAATAGATTGCACGGCGGGGCTTCCCAACGGGGAGCTCAAGCTGCCAGGATCTTCTACATGTTCTCGACCCCAATGGATATTTTTCATGCATGTGTGAAGACTGGGCTGGATTTTCCCCGGGCAACGCCGGATACCTCAGCTAGTTGTTCATAAGCGTGACCAGTCAAGAATCGATCATGAGTATCCAAGACGAGTTAGAATGGTCTGGTTTTGATAGAAATCAACTAATCGCATTCCCATTCATAGTTATAAACACCAAAAACCCATTTTGGAGAGGGAGCTGATTCGTGGCCTCTACGGCTCCCCTCCTTTATTTTATAACCGCTTTCATACGATTTTATACATTCATCGTCTATTCTGGGTTATAGAAGTGAACGAGTTCGGCGAATAAATACTAATTAATTCTAATCGAAAAGTCGATTAAATCATAATCAGTATACACGTTTGGTTTAGGAGATCGATAATATATATCACGTTGCATGCTGACGCTTTTAATCAAACTCTCAAACTCAATCGAAGTCCCAATAGTCACAGTTATTGGTACAATACGTAGACTTATGGTTCCAAAAACTGACACAAAGTCCCCTCGATATGCAAGACCAGGACTTTCTACGGTATTTTTGCACAGCTTTGCTTTTGCTGACCATCTATGTCAGAGTCAACTCTTAAGTAATTATAAACTGAAATATATAGAAAAGTCTCAAATCAGTGCATCATTTTTATCAGTATCTCGTTCATTTTCACGAAATAACTGTATTTCGGGGGTTAACGTAGGTGATATCTATAATTCAAATCCTACGCCTCTCCCATTTATTTTTTGTGCTCGTAAGAGTCGCATAGCTAAAGCTCCTACAGCATACAGATATGTTTGCATGAATAGTGAAGCATCTACCATAGAGTTGCTAGAGTGTCCGCATTTCACAAATAGATCAATTTGTTTTTGGTTTTTCTGTAGTTTAATATGAAATCAAAATCAACGTCTAAAGCAATAGCGATGTTTTATTTTAGCTCCCTAATGTATGTAAGCAAGATATAATTATTTCAAAGAGTGACGCAGTTTTATCCCTTATTCGCGGATTGATTGTCTTCGTGAGCGCCCATTCTCGGATTTTTTTCATCATAGTATCCAAGCACATCCGATTTCCTTCGGGAAATTAGATCGCGACACTCATTAAGCTCATCGATTGCCATTGTGAGCCGTTCAATGATCTGGTCTCGTGTCGGCCATGGATGTCCACCAATAGCGAGGTTGAGCATTTTTCCATTAGCACACCATGTCTTATGCATGGCAAATTCCAAATCACTCGTGGATTCCATTCGAAATGTGTCGTATCGTGTGTATTCAACGACGAATGGATTGGTCGACATGTACGAATTGACTACCGTCAATCGAGGTTCCGTATAAGAACGAATACTGGTCACTGGATGTGCTATGCGGCTACCTGTGTAAATAATAGAATGGTTTTAAAAAAATTTATCTCGACACCACTGTATATTTGCAGACTTACCCTGCATAAGCACACATGAATTAGAACCAAGGTAGTCAATTGGCCGAATGATTTCTGTGGGCAGCTTACCCTTGTATTGTTCGATGAGACTAAAAGCTTACTTCGGTTCACGTTCCATAAGTTGCAATTCGCCACCAACTGTCTGACTCATGTCGCATGCAAGTAAAATGAGAATGTAGGGGACTCTATCACAATGGAAAGAATCAACATTCTTTCCAGTTGCATAGTCAACATTAATAGTACTATAATTCAACTGAAGTGCAGTGGGCAAAGGGCGTACATCTCCAGTCATGTGCGATAAATGCTGAAGCACTCTGGGACATCGATTGAAATCTCGCAACCATTTACCGCGATAACCACCATTTCGAATGTAGGCTGGAAGACGAGCATCGCTCTGCTGGTACACGAGCTTCCGTTGAAGAATAGTACGCAATACTTGATAGCCTTCGTCACTCAATACTTGACATGGGCCAGTGTAAGCAAGTTGGCTGTCTCCGTTTGGCGCCGTTGATCAAGCTTCGGTGCTTTTGGGGCACGTTGAAAGCCATCGAGCAATACAACAAAATCAGGCTCAGTCAGCTGCAGATCAATATCAGGATCAAATGCAGGCTCATCAGAGTACATTTCAAACTGAGAATGGGGATGTACCAAGACTGGAGGCATCGGAAGCGCGTCTTCATTCTCAGAAGTCATGTTTCATTGAGAGGTAAACTACTCGATAATGTTCTTCTCGTCCGTTGGAGTCCGCACAACTCCAGCACGTGTCACTTTTTTTTCTTTATCAGATAGCAACTACGTTACCTTCAAATGTTGATGCTTACATGTATAGAGAAAGCAGCAGATAACAACAAAGACAGCCAAGGGCGAGCACTTGCTCGTTTTTAAGAGGGATTTTTCGTAAAGGAATCCTGCAGTGCTGATATGGGTGAATCCACCGGAAACCGCCAGATCCATCCGGCGATGACCGCTAATTTTTATCAGGCTTTCAGCGTTTACAGAGTTCGTTTAGCTAATCATTTTTCGCTCTGAGCCAGGGATGGGCAACTCCGATCCGGAGTTGGAGTAACACATCAAAATATTAGGAGGGAGTTGGAGTGGAATTGGATTTCGTTCCGTTCTGCCTACTCCGATTCAACTCCGATAGACTTCGTTCGTCGGACACTTTTCCAGGCGAAAAGACGTCAGCGATGATTCGGCAAAAATGCATGTAAGTGTTACTGTTGAACTGAAGTATTTCACTGGAATACATTGTGATCTTTCGATCACTGTTTCGTTGGGAGAGAGAACCTGAGAAAGATCGAGGATGAAAAATGAAACAACTGTTAAGAAAGCCGTGTCCTGTCACACATTAATACAAGCAGCAAACGTGTGTCATGTTTCATAGAAGATCAACATAGATATAATATTTCACGGACTATGCAAATACCATTTTTCTTGTTTGATAGGCTTGATTTACTTTGAAAAGTTAACTGAAAACGAATGTCAATTTTTTTTTGAAAGGAAAAAATGGCATTTTACATGACTTAGAGAACCATTGCACTTTGTCTATGTAGGATTCAAACTCAATGTTTGAATTTGTTACGACATGCTAATTAATAAACCACCAACAATTAATAGGAATGTAAGACAGAGTATTATCATTTGATTGATATTGGAACTTCAATCAATGAGAAGAAAATTTATTTGTTTTGTAATTTTCACACATCTACGTTAACTATCAACTTAAATAGAATATACATAGATTATCACTTGTAATAACAAATTGATTTAACTTTTTCATATTCCTTCAAGCCAGAATTATTGATCTATCATCGTTTTTATACCAGCTCGTTTCACAGAGTAAAACTGCGAGAATTTCTTTCGAATGTCAATCCATCTTTCAGCCCATGCAGAATAAGGTATTGAACTCAACCGACATTGCATCTGGAAAAACGTTGCAAAATCACATGTCAGAGAAAATTGGACTCACATTCCAATTTTACCCACCAGTCGTAAATGCGAATATGTGTTCATTCGTGAACGAAAGAAGATTTGTTTCATATGCCCATGTTTCCACATCATCAAGAACTTCGATGAATGACGGAGCATTTTTTTATCAACTTAAGAATAGTCCCATACGTCAAAGTCGACTGTAACTTTTTGTCAATAGACTTTCCGATTATTTTATTTTGTGAATCTCAAAAACTTCATTATACAATATAATTGCGCTGTTTGGTTTTATCACGTTTAGATACTTAGACTTCTCGCTACAACTTGGTTGTTGTTAGAGTTATTCGCTACTTAAGCTACCACGAGCGCTTTCGACCTT